GAAAATGAAATTATTGATCTAATTAGTGAAAGTGAAAATGAAGACACTGAGGTTGTCAAGAACCATCGAAGTGTTACTGGTGTTACTGTAGTGAATGATAAGGAAAAAAACATTTCAGAGGTTCAAAACATTGTAACTTCTACGGATCTTCTGGCGATCGAAGAAATAGATACTTGTGTTATCGATGCTCAAATGTTACTGACAGAGTCATCAAGTTCTAGGGAAACAAAAAATGCAATAAATACGAACCTCAAATGTGTTTTGGTAAATCCTAGTTATGAGGAATGGAAAAATGGTGCAAGCTTGGAAGAATACCAAGAATCTGTAAACAACACTGCATCTGATAAAATAAAGGAATGGAAAAATGGTGCAAGCTTGGAAGAATATCAAGAATCTGAACACAACACTGCATCTGATAAAATAAAGGAATGGAAAAATGGTGCAAGCTTGGAAGAATACCAAGAATCTGAAAATAACACTGCATCTGATAAAATAAAGGACATTTTACTCAGTCCTTCTAAATGTCAATCACCAGTGACATCTTGTCATGTTATTGAGTCGTCTGCTTCAACATTTCAAAAGCGAATTGGTTGTGGAAATGATGATATTTCAAAGAGGATAAAGTTAGATGTACCTCAATTCTTATGGCCAGATATCTATCCACCAATTAATTTGGATGAACTTGCTTTAGATCCAGCAAGACTAAGAGAGGTTGAATCATGGTTCAATAATGCTTTTAACAAAAATAATTATAATATGGTAAATGATCCTTTTTTAGTATATATAATCTAATGGCCGGCTGTATAATATTATCGAATTTTTTCTATAGTACCAAATGCAATCTCATAGGCTTTTGGTTCTATCAGGACCTCCTGGCTCTTCAAAAACATCGGTTATCAAGCTGATTGCAAAGAAAAGAAATCTTCACATAATTGAGTGGGAGAACCCTCAAACGTTTACTACCGACCATTCTGATGGTATGTTGTTGTTTGGATCTGTTTATACGATCTTATTAACGTGAAATTTGATACGTAGAATTTGTTCCGGTCATGGCACCGTTCGAATTATTTTTGTCTTATAACGGTCGTAACCCTCACAAACAGTGTATTTTAAATCAAAATAATTCTCAAATTATTATTGTTGAAGATCTACCATGCCTTATTAATTCGGGAGCAAAAAAACAATTTCATCAAGCTATTAAAGCTCACGTAAAGCATCCCAGAACATCTTTTCCTCTTATTCTTATTATAAGTGAAGCTCATAGTATTGAAGATTTTGATGAATATG